CAGCATCAAATTGGTGATATCACACACACACACACACACACACACACACACACACACTAGCTTGTCTAGATAATGAGATGACAAACATTCACCAAATGTGAAATGCCTTGCCTTTTCATGTGTCTTTTACACAACCCAAGTACTCAGTAGATGCCATGGTTGGATTAGAGTAAGGTGCTGAATCACTAGTTGCCTTGCTGTTCTGACTTGATCTCACATTAGATTCAACAAAAATATTATTGTTTATGATTTGGTTTGCAATGGCATGGAATCTACAGAGTGATTACTTTATCTTTTAAGATGGCTTCTGGTATAGACATTAATTTTCCAAGATTTCTTGAGTGTACAGGGGACCATTTATCTGAATTGGGATCAAGCTACTGTTGTCTAGGTGATTGGTGAAAATGCTACAAAATGTGACAATACAGCACCTTCAGGATTTTGAGACTGTCAATCTTCTCTGGAGAAAGTACTTTGCTCATTTCTCAGAAAATTTACAAAGGATAACTTTTCAAGAAAAGAACCAAAGGTTGCTTCAGAGTAAAACCTTAGTATAGGAACCCATGTTTGTTTGCTTCTGGTTACTCGCCAGTTACTGGCCTCTTATTCGAAAGCTCTGCTCCCAGGCCCCTGGCTTCTCATACTTCCCTATTAGAACAGTCTTCAGAGAGCATTCACTGGGCATAAACCCAGTTTTAACTCTTTCACTTCCTCTTTGTCTTGCTGTATCCCAGCGCCTCAGGGATCTCTGAGAACTGACTGGATAAAGCATTTCAGGTTCACAAATTGACATGTACTAATGGCTTGTGTAGATTCACAATATAGTACCTCTTTGCTGGGCAATACCTCTGTGTTTTGTTAGGGATTCAGTCAGAATTCCTTCATTCAAATGAATGACTTTCATACTAATGGTTCCAGATTCCATGTTGGCCAATGCATAAAGGCTTTGAACCCATGAATGCTTTACCACACATCAGACAACTTATTATAAATGATGCACTAGCCCTTGGCCACAGAAATGGTTTCCTTGCTTCACTTGTCAGTCAGGATGTTCCCTTCCTTCTTTGAAAATTGAGCAGGATGTAAGGTTGTGAATTATTTGAACCGTCTTCTACCTTGTTACATTCTGGACTTGAAAGACCAAGGACCAAAAGACCAAAGGATGGGTGCAAATGTGAATGCAAAGCAGTCAGATTCCAAACAGAGTTTTCAGGGAAGAGATCAGTGAGCTCTGTGGTATCAAGGCACTTGTGTTCTAATCTCCTCCCATGAAAACATAGCAGTAAGCACTTACCCTGGAAGTCTTCACATCAGAAAGTGGGCTATCTGAGTTGCATACAACTACTCCACGGTTAGTTTAAAGTTTCAACATGATGCACATGTACACATGAGAGGCTAGAGGCTGCAGGAAAGAGAGGAAGAATAGAGAAGGGGAAAGAGAAGGATGGCCAGAGGAGGGAGAAAGGGAGAGAGGGAGGGAGGGAGGGAGGGAGGGAGGGACAGAGAGAGAAAGAGAGAGAGAGAGAGAGAGAGAGAGAGAGAGAGAGAGAGAGAGAGAACGGAAAATAACCCTACTGCATTTAATGAGGCCCCACTGGACTAGTCCTGAGTTTAAATCAAAATCCCAAAGGCAAAAGCCGAAAGCTCACATTTCCCAAGTCTGGTCTATCCCAATGGGTTGGAAAACACCTGACCGCTACTTCCCCTACATCTAAGAGACATCTCCCGGGAGCCAGAATCATTTTGTTCAGAAGGAAAAGTAGGAACAGGTAGAGCTGTAACCCACTGGCCTGGTTAGCCTCAGTTGCTACTGAGAATTAGAGCTGGAGAGGGAGACAGTTAGAGGAGCAGTGGGGATCCAGACAGCAGCCTGGAATCTAGAGAGACTCAGAGAAAATACTTGCCACAAGAGGGAGCAGTAGAATTTGGTCAGATAGGAGGTTACTGGATAAATGTTCTTACTGGGGAAAGGGGGTATCTCATCATGAGTCTACAGTAAACATTGGATCATAAATGTAGACGGTATTGAATGGTGTTGAAACACAAGACACATATCCATAAGTGGCAGAGAATAGCACTTGGACCACTAAATTTTTAACAAAAGCAACAACTGAAAGAAACATAGATACATACAACAGGTCAAGAATATGAAACCTGTAACCTGATATAACATCCTTTTCTCTAAATGTTTCTTGCTCTATATTTAGCTTCCATTTCAGTTTGGTCCGTGATGATACCTATACCTGCTTCTTGCCTGTATAGCGTTCGTTCTCCCTCTATCTAGAGCATCCGGAGAAAAGACTGGCCTCACTGAATGGAAACATGAAAACGACACTCTTATGTCTAAAACTGTGATATTCACCGTCATAAGCAAAATACTTTCTTTATGCTGTTGTGTCTTTTAAAATATTTTCTATTCATTTTCTTTTTAAAGAAGGAATGCAATTTATAGAAGCTCCAGAATTCTTCTCCTCATTTATTCAGTCCAAGACACAGATTAAGCACTAAGAGGGAAGGAACCATGCGTTTACTTTGCAAGATAAATAAAAGTCTATTTTTGTCGATGAAAAAACATGTTAAATATAGCTTGCTAACAAATGCTGACACTCTTTTCAATGCATTTTATTGTTTCAAAACACAGCGCGTTTGAAAGAGCAACTATGGTAATCCCTACACATCAGTCCTCAGGGTATCCCTCACCTTCCTTCCCTATTTTTATTTAGAGTTACAGCACTATGCTCTTTCCTTCCCTGTCATAGTTAACAGAATTTCCAGCTATCTCTTAATCTAAATCCAAATTGATACTATGGAAACTCTTACGCAGCAACAGTAAGGTCTACAGTCGAAGGGAGCATGAAGCACAGCCTTTCTATGCCTTTAGTTCACTACGCTCTTCCAAGCCCTGGCAAGCAGTTTTCAAGACAAGAGTAGTGAAGTCTGATCACCCCGAGGACACTTGTATCCTTTGCTATCTCTGGTCAGTTTGGCAGTGAAGAATGGTTTATCTCAGTTCACCTTTTTTCATTTCCTCTCACTCTTTTTCTAGGAACTGAGTTCATTTTTAATAAAACACAACAGCCATTTTAAAAGGGGGGAATCAGGCCTGTCTTTATAAGAGAGGTCTTAATTAAAGTGCCCAGCAATCCAAATGGAACACTTTATTAAAGCAGGCAGGATTTGTAAAATGAAAATGGTTTAGGAAAGCCCACCTCACTGAAAGCAGTGAGCCCTTCTCTGTCAGCTCCCTCACAAAACTCTAAAGATGGAGCAGGCTCCTTCCTTCTGCCTTCACACCCGGCTAACCTCTGCAAATTAAGCAAGTTTAGCAAACCCAGAGAGCCAAATCCCAGAAACACAGGATTTGAAAGAGGAACCTAAAGGCAGCCATCCTTCTTCCGGATTTCTGTTCTTATAACAAATGAATGAAGAATCTAGATTCACCCCCCCCCTTTTTTTTCTGTAGAAGAGCTCTAAGAGAGGAGGGTGTGTGTGTGTGTGTGTGTGTGTGTGTGTGTGTGTGTGTGTTAGTGGGGCATTCTTTCAGAATTTCCTCCAGGTTGTCTCCCTTACAAACTCCCCCACAGTACCCTTGAGAAATGGTCACCCAGCAGGTTCTGGGCTGTAGATGGTCGGCTGCTCCTATGTGATGTACTCAGGCAATCTTTTGAAGCAGATCTGATCAGAAATCTCCACCTCCTCAGCTGCTGACTCCATGACCAGGATGCCTCAACTGTCTTTAGGTCGTCTTTTTTTTTTTTTTTTTTAAAGCTTCTTCCACTACACCTCCCAGTGATATCCTTTTTTTTTCCTCCTTTTAGTCTTTATACCTCCAGCAGGACAAAGTTTGTGTTGTTATGGTCACAACCACTAGTGGCTGACTAGCAGAGAGTGCCTTCCAGGGAGCCAGGCTAAGGGGGACTTAAAACCATACCTAGCACAAAAGCATGACTTTCTGCCCATGATCACAGACAACATGCATATTGCTCTCTCTCTCCCAAAAATGCTTTGTTAAATTGGATCACTGCTGCTCTTGACTCAAGCACTGCCACTTTATCTGGGGAGGGAAGTAGGAAACGCAAGCAAGTCATTCATCAGAGAGAGACAGAATCTATGGGTCTATAGGGGAGGGCTAGTGCGTGTGTTGGGGGGGGAGGGCAAGCACGCATATATGTTGTATTTTTTAAGGCATCTCCAGGACAGATTTGGTTTCTCTGCCTGTCCTGCTGTAAGACCTCCCTCTTCCTCGAGAAGGAGGAGCCAAGAAGGAGATCCTTGAATCTCAGAACACAGGCCATTTCCCAAAGAGCCAGCACAGCCTCAGTGTCAAATAATGCGACTGTGAAGTTCCCTTTGAATCTCTGGGTAAAGATGCCTGTGTGTGCAGAATCCGCAACACACACCAAGGCACGGTGCCCAGGCGCTGGGATCCTACAACCCACTCCCCATCTCATTTCTCCCTCCTCTTTCTCCGCTACCCAGCCACACCTCCCTCCTCTCTGCAGTCCTTCTCTAGTAGCACCCAGCGCCCGCCAGAAGAGGTGGCTCACAAGTGGAGCCTTGGGGAAGACCCCAGGGATTACCAGGAAGAAGGATGACCCACCGTGAGAGGAGCCCAATGGATGGAGGTGTCTGGCTCCCCAGCAGCGCTGCCTGTTTTCCGGGTGGACTTAGCTCTTTGCGCCCTGAATCCTTGCAGCCCAGCCAGCACTGTCCAGGGTGCAGCATCCCCCCTCCCCCTCAGCAACCCTTTCTTCCTCTGGCAGTCTGTACTGGCAGGCGGGGACCCTCACGCCCAGAATCACCAACAGCCTAAGCAATCTCACTCTCAGAGAAGCACGGACACACAGAAAATGTGCCGGCGCGCGGACACACACACACACACACACACACACACACACACACACACAATCCAGAACCATCCCGAATCGCTGCCTAGGGAACCGCGAAGACAGCAGTTCCTGTCTCCCCAATATCTCTGCTTGCCAGGGACTAGCTCCTACCTGGGCTGAGCCTTGTGGATGGATCCCTTTCCCGGGTCCTGCACGCCGCCCGGTGATCGGGCACACTCACTCCTTTTTGAGACAGCTCTGAATCAGGAAGAGGTCGCTCCCATCCTCTGCTGGAAGCACAAAGCCGGCGGCAGCAGCTCGACTCCCGAGCAGCGCCCGGCGCGAGCAGCGGCGGCGGCGGCGGCAGGCAGCAGGCAGCGTTGCGCGCAGGCGGGAGGCGGCGAGGCCGGCGGGCTGGGAGGGCCGGGGCCGGGCGGCGCGCGCGCTGCGCTCCCTCCCTCGCTCTCTCCCCTCCCTCCCGCGCACCCCGCCCG